GTTGAGATTGACGGCTGTAATGGTGGAATGAATTGTTTCTTGGGCATTTTGACCGTGTTTGTGTTAAAATGCAGTCGTTCGCCACTCAGTCACACTCTATATGAAACAGCTGATCTACAACTACTAACTAAATATTCAGTCAATCTAGAACAACTTCAAGCAATGGGTTTGGCAAGTTTGACTTGAAACTATATTAATTGGCGTCTTCAGGTTAAAATAAAGCAGAAACATGATACGGTTATGATAAGAACTTTCGACTCAAACTCGATTGTCTACTCGGATACCTATAAAGCGTTATCGCCTGAAATAACGAAGGCTATCGGCACATTCGAAAGTGATCCATTTTCTCTATACCTATCCCACATTGAATAATTGTGAAATCTCCATAGGAATTTCGTATTTATTAAATAGAAATGATACTCTAAAAGTAGTTTTTTGGAAAGTGAAATTTGATTGTAGGGAGCAATTTAATTTAGTGCATCCACTTTAGGTACTAATCGAAAGTCAGTCAGTCAATCAGTCATTTACAACGTGGAACTTGTTACGTACGTAAAACATTTCAAGTTGCCATACAACTTCAGTACTGCGATACAACTGTCGATCATAATCCAATAGTGGAGGAGATAGTAGAAGTATGAACAGTAATCACAAAGATCACCATATGAATTTATTTTTCAAGACGTATAATGCAATGAAATAAATTGCAGACGAGAAAGATGAAGGTCATGCGTAGTCTAGATTAGAACTAGTGAGAACATAAAGAATTAAAACATCTACGCCATCGCACACGATTTTAGGACATGTCATTCAAGACCTCTAACCATCGTTTTCTATAATCTCGCGAACACCAACTACGTAGTCTACACCTACCAACATGGCTCAATCCATTTGTCAGTGACATCATGGATTTGTGTCATGCTTCGATCTAGTCAACCCTAGCTTTCTCCCAACCTACTCCCACAATACATGACATCGCTCTTCTAGGCAGTCGGTTGTTGGACATAAGCAGTGCATTTCCCAATCCCACTTCAACAGATGAAGATGCGACACTTCATCAAGTGATCTGACATTCTTATCTGGTACTCGTTTTCTAACAACTGCATTACTTTGTCGACTGTTCTAGGAGATACGAGCAATGCACTGAAGACACCTATGATCTAATGCTGGTAAGCTACGAATATTCTGTACTCCTAATGACCATGTTTCACAAGGAACTTGTGTGCAATTTACTCGTCGTTTGTTTATCGGACGGATATCTCTCCTACACCATGAATGACGCAAGTTGGCAAAATCTAGTCGAGCATTTTGTAACCATGATGATATTTTGTCAAACCGTAGACTCCCGAGATAAGTGGAGTGGTCGACTTGCTCAACTACTACACTCGCTTTCACTTGTTCAGGTGTCGTTGTATGCCGATCTTGATGCGATATTTTGCATTTCGACTGGGATAATCGCATCCCGAGCATGATTTCATTGTTGCTTAAGTTGTCGAAAGTGACGTAGGATAACCAAGTAAGATCTTATTATTATTACTACCAGCATTTTCAGTTACCATGTAATGAAAAGATAGAGTGATCCAAATTACTTATAGTTAGTTGATTTTTAATAATAAATTGATAAAATGTAGATATTTATATAGTCAACTGTAATTAATTCAAGACTGCTATAACTTGTTAATAATAGTATCATATGAGTGTACTTAAAATGAGCTTTTCTAATTAGAGATCAATATATTGTAAATAAAATAATTAGCACAAATTTCAGACTCCTTAATAACTAACTGATGAATACTAAGATTTAAGAAAAGAAGATACTTTGGTACTTGAATCAGTTAATAATTTTTTATTAATAGAAAGAAAACAATTGACTCACTTATACAAATATTTTGATATTCTATTCAGTTTTTTTAAATGATGCTATATTTATGTTGGTTTCAGTGAGAGACGATCAGCTATCTAAGTGATGAAAAAAGTTTCTTCACAATTAACAAGGAAGTACTGTTAAGACATAATGTATTGTAATTTTTAGAATTTCTACAATAAAGGGTTATTAGTCAATCGAAAGAACAAAAGTTCACTTCATGTATTCCAAAATGATGTCTTCTCTTATTCAACATCATTTCGATAACTCGCTTCATTGCATTTGATATAGTATGGTATAATACAGTGAATAATACATTCCTAGATATGGGTCGTGTTTATTTAAGAGTAAGAGAGGTTTCTTCATCAAATTAGTAAAATATATGATCTTTAAACTATTCGTACTCACCTCATTCAATAGGTCAAGTGATTTGGTCCGTGGTTAACTAGTATAACCGGATAAAGAAAACTAATCGGTTACGGAATGATAGCCAGTGCTCAAACTTACTGTATTTTGTATTCGTCAAATCAAATATACATAATGTGTAACAAATTACATCAGATTATTAAAATCAGAAATTTGTGTACACTTTCCAGTTCGAGAGTGATTTTCATCATCAGTGATGTGAGCTGAACAACCCCCTAGAACTAAGATGAACATTTAAGCCAGAGTTAGAACTCCATGGTCTATTTCTTTAAGATCAATGGTCTAAATTCGTAGTATATATATATATAATTACTACATTATTGAGCAACTACTTACTTCTTTCCGTTTTCTGCTTATTAATAATTGTTTGTTTTGATTGATGTTATCCACAACCGAACTCAAAAATGGTAATTTCGATAAGGCGAACTGTTATTTTAAAGCAGTAATAATTTAAAAATAGATCAAAATAAAAACTAAATAAATTTATGTTCACGCATTAAGTAACAAAATATAAAAGCATTGTATTCATTAAATTGCATGATCAGCTCTCTGTCAAGTGCTTCATAAAACCTATTACATTATATTAGCAGAACAAGATAAAATACTGCAGACAATGTACAAAGTTGTAGATATAGTATTAGTATCAGTAGTTGTAGAAACGTTTTTGGCACAAAAAGAGCAAAATTAATGAGATTTTGTGACTCTAGATCTAAGACAAGACGGAATTTGAATGAATCTACATCACCATGAACGGTTCTGAACTTCATCACTCGAAATATTTAACCACTGGTTCTGAAAATCATGCAAACCCGAGACAAGTAGACTGGATCTACCTACGTAACTTGTTAGTGACTGATGAGTAGCAATTTAGGATGGTAGTGATGAGTAGTGGTTAAGGTGAAAATTTAAATCAATAAATAGTTTTTCTTAGTATAACCAACTAGGAACAGGTTTATAAGTACAGGGTTGTGGAGACTGTTGAGTTTAATTTGGATCAGTGACTTTTCAACGTCAGACCGCCATTGGAGACCTGAAAGTACTGAAAAGTGATTTCGTCCTAGTATGGGCCTTATTAGTTGTGCTCAACCACGATCTCGTGAGTGAAAATCGAACTCAGAACTTTGGGTTTCTCGTGTAGATGCTTAACCTCTTGACTACAGAGCTGGCACCCAACGGTTTTGATGTCGAACTTGAATAAATCCATGAACGATAGTCGGACAGTGTCGTGGATTGATTCAAATTAATCGGCTCAGTGGTATGGAGGTTAACCGTCCATATGTGTAACCAAAGTTCCTGAGTTCGGTTACAGCTCACGTGACCGTGGATAAGCACTACTTATGAGTTCCATACCTGGACGAAATCTCTGTTCAGTACTTCTAGGTTTCCAATGGTGGTTTAACACTGGTCAAGTCGTGATTGCTAGCACTAGATTCGATTGACTGAAGTGACGTTGAAATCTTGTTAGCAGATTAGTTTTACTCGCAGCTAAACTAATAAACAGCTAGGCCAATTACCTGAAGAGCAATAGCCGTAGTTTTGTTACAGTTAATACTTTAATTCATTTAAGGTCATCATTCTTTGACAAAATCATTTTCTACATTTATTGATCACTGTTTTACACATCAATGTTTATTTTTGAAAATCAAACATTCTATCTACAACTAGCAAGTAGTATAAAGAATCAAATCTATCTTTTATTTTTCCAGTGAATATGACCTGAGTAGAAATAAACATATTTCGAATCTAAAAACGTTGCTTTTTTAAATTAACTATCTAAATACATTTGAGTGATTTTTACCAGCTTAAAGAAATCACACTTTCTTTAGTCTTAAGTCTTGACCTAATTTTCATGAAAAACGTAATCTTAGGATGAACATGTAATGAACATCTAACCTATTATATCTGTTGTAATATCCTCATTATACGAAAACCAAAACTAATTAGTACTGTTCATTTAGCTACTTACTTTTTGTTATCAAAGGTTACTGAAAACTACACTCTGATTTATATGGTTCCCATCTGTACTTTATGCACAGATGAAAAGTTATTCGACTTTCATCGAGTACAAAACCTTCAATTACATCGCATAATCCTAAGAGATAAGAATCCACTCACCTCTTTAACTGAAAATGTTGTTGATATAAGTCAAGTGTATGGAATAAGCTATCCTAAGTTTACAAATATTGAGTCAAAACTTCTTACTAAAATCTCTGCCAACTCTGATTCATGATAATTAGCACCGTAGCACAATCGATATCCATTGAAGGTAGTTAGTGACGATTATATCGCACCATTCATTTAATTAGCTTGAAAATCTTATTTAGTGGTAACCCGGCCATTCTGAAACATGAAACTTCTCAACTGAATCTCGTGTATGATAATGGATTTGTGCAACTCGGGGACTTACAAATTTATTTGCGTTAACTTCTGTGTCCTCCAACTGATGTCAAATATTTTGAATTGGTTTGACTCCACATAATTTTGTCAACTAGTCATCGTATGAACAGTGGAAAAACTACAACTTAGTTCTTGTCTAGATTGTTGAATACTAGTTAATAAATATTTTGTTTCACATATACAATTTTTAAATCATTATAAGACCGGTTACCTGTTTTAGTTGTTTCGATTCATCTTGAGAATTCATTACGTGATCATTAGCATCACATTCTTCATTATCGTTGGAGTATAGATTTTGAAAACAATCAATAGTCAGTAATACATCCTGTTCAGTTTTAAATATTATTGTTAAATCATGTGAGTTTGTACGAACTAATCTAATGTAGTGGTTAAAATTTATATCCAAAGAAATTGGATATCTTATTGTTGGATCTTGTAGGTTTTTTTCTGTGAAACATGGAAATTCATATTCTAATTCTCCATTAGAATTCTTAAACACATAACAATATTCTTTCGTGAAGATAGCATGAATATTAGCTGGTTGAGGGTTATTTATATGATCAATGCTATTATCTGTTATGGTCTCCCCACTATCAATATTATGCGGATAATAAATAACACCATTTCCTGATGGTGTAAAATGTGCAACCAAAGGACCAATGTTAAACTTTCTATCGACCAAATCTTCATTTTGTAGACTCACATCGGATTTCGTTTGTTCACGATATAATTCCGAAAGATTACTGCCACTATTTATACTACAACTACTAGATACATTTTCTCTAACAGATTCTAGTCTTCTAGCAGTATTTCTAGACTTCTGGAATAATTCTGTGTTGAAACTATTATCTTTTCCGTTGTTTTTCAACAACTCGCTACCTGTTGTTGATAATTTAGAAGAGTGTAAGTTATATTTATTATCGGTTTTACCAACGTCCATATTCTTTTCTGTTTTATACGATGACTCGCAAGGAATATCAAAAATAGATAAATAAAATCCTGATCGATTTCCAACATTCTGAATTCTTGACATCGATACACTACTACTAATATTAGTTGTAGTATTAGTATTAGTAGTAGTCGTAATATCAGTAAATGATTTTTGTAAAGGTGCAGATGAACTGTGAAGATATTCTCTAGTTTTATTTGCTTTACTTCCTTTCCCTTTATTCAGTGAAAATGAATCAGAATTATTAAGATTTTCACATGGTTTATGATAAATAAATGGACTTGATGACCATATAATAGCTGGTGAACCACAAGGATACCTGTATAAAGAGAAAAAAATATAGAAAGAAAGCTACAAAATATTCATGTCAATGATCACACCTACAAATGTGACGTATAAAACGATCTAGTGTATGTGTTCATAATGATAAATATCCAACAGGTATTCAATGTTTTATAAGGTTTGTTTTCTCAATTATATCTACCCAACAGAACAGTAGTAAACCTTGAAGTTTGATGCTTGAGAAAATCAAACATACAGATAAAACTATAGGAATATTGAAAGTTGTAAATCGTTATATTGTACAAAAGTATTAAAGAAGAATCAGAAAATTTCGGCTTAAAAAAATTTGATTGTGATAATTAACTATTACAAAGAAATAAAGTGAAACTAAGCAGAGGATTATAGGAATTCAAGTAAGACGTCATTGCGTTTCACTAATATAGATGTTTTTCTATCGAATACACATTAGAATATTTATATGAAATACTCACATTTCTGTTAAACGGGTATTCATACTTATTTCTCATATAACTGGTAGTGATTACATACAATTAGATAGATTTCTAACACTGACTTTTGTTGCCTATCGGATAGTTTCAAATGTATAATTTTCACCATCTAATAATGTCGTCTTTTGCCTAGTCATCCATAAGAAGGTAAAAATGGTTACAATCGTTCAATTTATCCTCAAAGATGAAACCTGCTGCATTAAAATTTCTAGTGTTGTGTTCATATCAGTTAGCCACTAGTAAAACTAAAATTATCTTGATCATATAATACCGAAATCAACGTTTCTTGTAAATTTTAAAAAGTTTAACTTTACAAAGCAACGGCTTATTGAATTTCGCTATACTTGAATTCTATGTAGTCCTGTACGTAGAATACTTGTTAAAGGTGTACATGCATATGTACATGGCATATGATATACGAGCCAGTTAAGGTTATAAATATTACTACATTTTTGCCATGAATTAGCTTAATACAAAAGTCAAAAGTGTAAGAAACAGTTTATATACAGAGAATAC